GCCACCGACGTTTAGCCACGGCTGGGAATCCAACTTTCGGGCCACCACGTTCACAGTGCAGTTTGCTAACCGCTGCGCCACCTCACTCCCCCCGTGCTTATGTACATCGAACTTCTTTCGCACCGTACGTAGCCAACCGCGCTTAAATCAGAGGTGCGGGGAAAGGGAAACAAACTAAACACAAAAAGCAGCTCCAAAGAAATTCGTTTTCAATCTAAATGTAAAAGTGCACAGCTCCAGTGGCTTCCTATATACAGTATACACATTATAGAGTTCTACTTTAATGCCAATTTTAATCCACGACGTGCACTTTGCATCGCATCACCGCGAGACCAAGACATTATGTACCGTAAAAAGCGAGCAGTGCACCTCCTTGTGTCACACACCAGTCTCAAAAGGTGGTGTGACAGAAAGAGTGCCTTCTTCAGGCACTTTGGTAGGACCCGTCATCAACCAGAGGCAAGCGTTTTGTTGGCTGGACCCGGCAAAGGGTGTCCATAGGATTGTGAACCAAAACCAGCTTTGTTTTAGACGAAAACGTCACTATTTTTGTTTTGCCAGGTAAGGCCCCACCGAGGTGTGTAGCTCTTTTTCAGAAGCGACCTGGCCATCACAAATGATAGCCCAACGAGGTGGGCTTTACCATCGCGTGGAAATGTATGGCAGCCAAATGCTCTAAACGCGTGACGCCGATAAAAAAAAATGTGGAGGGAAAAACCGGAAGACCCGGAAAAAAATCCACGCGACCACAGAGTGAGAGAGAGGGAGTGAGACAAGCACATTCCAAATATACATCAGGTCGGGATCGAACCCACGACGTTCCTGCATGCCAGGCGATCTCGTTAACATCTCGTCACCGTGACACCCCTTCAATTGACACGGTTGAACCAAAATTAAGTGAAAAGCTAAAATTATATTTTCATGGTGGGGGGGGCGGAGGGGAGGTTTTTTTAGTGTGCAGATATTGGTGGTGACCAGACTGAGATCATTAACTGGCTTGCCGCTCGAGAACCCAGTTTACTTGTGGAACAAAAAACTCGCATAGCTAAAGAACGGTTTATTCCAGTCTGTGTGGCCGACTGGATCCAAACCTCGATTTCTCGGCAGTGCTGGTTCAGTGCTCTGTCTGATGCGGTCCTATCTCCGCAAGCCACCCGCTCGCTTTCTGTATGTGCGTGTGTGCGCGTGACATTTCCTGGTTAGTCGAGTGAAGCATCTAGCCGCACGTGTTTCCACTAATATTCTACTCGCAACAATGGAACATTAAGGTCACAACCCCCCAAACTATGGACCGTGCAGTAAACTCAAAAGACACAGAGATATATACTGAGACTCGCAGAGATACACAGAGACCCATAGTGACGCCAGATACATAGAGACCGATCGAGAGACACAGACACTCATCGCGATGCATTAAAGACAAGCCACAGCAGTGGCCATGCAAGCCCAAATTATGGACCACATGGTGAATCGCCACGGTTGCGAAATGTTAACTCCCTCGCCCGGTATGTAGGAGGTCGTAGGGTCTGGATTGAACTCCCCACTGTGGTCGGCACTCCTTCAACGGAGGAACAGCAAAACAACACGAACGCTCTCTCTCCCAAGGCCCTCTCATCGTGGCCAGGAGCAGCAGCTACAACCTGCAAACGGAAATTCAGCCCCTGTGCACACCCCACTGTCATCGCGGGCAAGTTCAGAACACAACCATTACACACGACGGTGCAAACAAACACACAATTTATTCGTTTTAAATGAGTCGCGTTATTTTTACCCAGCGCAATAAACATGTTTTCAATGGTTCCTTGCCAGTCGTCACGCAAGCCGCGCGAGCTTGCCGTTGAATCAACGATTAAACACTGGAAATTTCCTGGGTAGTTTAAAAATAAAAATGTGTTTTTTGCTCTGCGGCAGACGTAATCCTGGCCAAGGAACAGAAAGAGGAGCACGTGGATTTAGAGGTACGTGTGAGCGACGTTAGAACGTACGCAAACTCTGCGGGTGGCCAGGACGCGTCGCGAGTGGGCAGGCGGGAGCGGGTAATGGTCGAGATTAACGATGGAGTGGAGGTCAAAAGGCACCACAGTGGCGAGATGTTAACTACCTCGCCTGGTACACAGGAGGTCGTGGGTTCTGTCCCACCCTGACACCTGACGTATATTTGGAGTTTGCGTGTTGCTCTCTCATCATCACGGTGGCTAGGAGATGTTAACTAGCTCGCCTGGTATACAGGAGGTCGTCGTGGGTTCGATCCCGACCCTGTTGCATATTTGGAATTTGCGTGTCTCTCTCTTTTCCCGTGGTGGTCGCGTGGATTTTTCTCCGGGTCCTCCGGTTTTTCCCTCCACATCTAGAATCGACGTGCGTTCAGCATATTAGGCCGCTATAAATTTCCACGTGATGACAAGCCACTTCGTTGAGCTATCATTTGCGGCCAGGTCGCTTCTAAAAAAGAGCTGCACTGTATAGCTCAGCGGGCCTTAACCTGGTAAAATAAAAACATTGTTTTAGTTTCGTTTGCAATCACTGTGGATTGTACATGCACCGCAAGTGCAACAACAAAAATAATCCATCCGTGAATCCAACTGTAACCTCGAAAAACGAAACAACGCATCAAGTCGCGAAAAGAGGAACTACCGCTTCCCAATTACAAAAATTAACAAGCGTGCACCCAAGAGCCGATCCCTCGCCGTGAAGAGATTTAAGTTCACATCAGCCTTCTCCGTGCAGTGCATGCTGCGAAAGTTAAAATAAAGGCGCAGCGCTGCAAGTGCTCACTCACGCCCACTGATGGCGGAGGGGGTCCTCTGCGAGAGCGAGCTCTGGAGATCGCCCCCTCTAGAGTAGAGGGCATCTGGCCGATCCTTCTACACTGGCCGGACGTCTTGGAAGACTGTGGAGTAGCCCACACTCTACCCCCACCGCACGCGCTCTACCTGATCGACCCGACTGCCGTGGGGAACCAATTAACGCCCGCCAGGGTGCACAGGGGGCGGCGGGTGGGTGGAGGATTTGAGAAACTTTTACCACCGCCGTTTCAACTGCCGCGCGCCGGGGAGATCGAATGTGAACCGTCGAGAGACCCTGCGCATTGCCAGTGCTCGCCGGCGCTGCTCGCCGTTCCGCCCGCCCGCCTCGGCGGAAGCAGCAGCGGTGCCCCGGACTGCAGAAGGCAATCTGCCAATTTCATTGAACAGAGAGAACAAAAACGCCCAAGTGCTGCGTACGTCAATGTGGCAGATGCACGCTGCCTCCGCTGTGCCAGCGGAACATTGGCAAGCGAGATAACCTATGGGTCTCTACGCAATGTCGTACTGGTGACCAGACAAAGCCCGGTCAACTCGCTACACTTGAGAACCTTGCGCCTGGAGGTGCCGGATTCGATCCCAGGACCTCAGCTGTTGCGCCACCCCCTGCTGTCCGAACTCCCGGGTCAATATGAAAGGGGACATCTCTATCCCTCATGAACCAGAGAGGCAAAGTGTGGCCGACACAGTCATTATGATTCCAGGACCAGTGTGCAGCCGACGCGGCCATCACGAGAGTTTACTCCCCAATCTCAAAAAACCTGGAGGACCTCAGGCGGTGTCGTTGGGGATGTGACACAAAGCCATCGCGAATCTCACGAGGGGCCTGCAGAAGTCACTCGGCCTTCACAGCGAGCTACCCACCCCCCCCCCCTCCCCGCGACTTCAATGTCTCCGACCTGGCCATCGCGAGCCTCCGATGACACCGCAGAAAGACGGAGATGCATTCACCAGGAACACAAAATCTCTGCGTCTCCGACAAGGCCATTAAGAACCTCCCAAGAAGGCATTTCACTGACGGTCACTGCAGCCACTGAGCATGAACCCATGACTCCGATCTTTGTTGTCCTTCCGCCGCACCTCCGACTGGCACGGTTGGCTATGTAAGGTGCGAAAGAAGTTCCACACACACGTAAATCTCCGCAGAAATCTCCACAGAACTCCACAGACCACAGAAATCTCCACGTAAATCTCCACGTAAATCTCCACGTAAATCTCCACGTAAATCTCCACGTAAATCTCCACAGAACTCCACAAACCACAGAAATCTCCACAGAAATCTCCACAGAAATCTCCACAGAAATCTCCAAAGGACTCCACGTAAATCTCCACAGAACTCCAAAGAACTCCACAGACCACAGAAATCTCCACAGAACTCCACAGACCACAGAAATCTCCATAGAAATCTCCACGTAAATCTCCACAGAACTCCACAAACCACAGAAATCTCCACAGAACTCCACAGAAATATCCACAGAAATCCCCACAGAAATCTCCACAGACCACAGAAATCTCCACAGAACTCCACAGACCACAGAAATCTCCACAGAACGCCACAGAAATCTCCACAGAACTCCACAGACCACAGAAATCTCCACAGAACTCCACAGACCACAGAAATCTCCACAGAAATCTCCACAGAAATCTCCACAGAAATCTCCACAGAACTCCACAGAACTCCACAGAACTCCACAGAACTCCACAGAACTCCACAGAACTCCACAGAACTCCACAGAACTCCACAGAAATCTCCACATAAATCTCCACAGACCACAGAAATCTCCACAGAACTCCACAGACAACAGAAATCTCCACAGAAATCTCGAAAGGACTCCACGTAAATCTCCAATGAACTCCACAGGACTCCACAGAAATCTCCACAGAACTCAACAGACCACAGAAATCTCCACAGAAATCTCCACAGAACTCCACAGACCACAGAAATCTCCACGTAAATCTCCACAGAACTCCACAGAAATCCACAGACCACGTAAATCTCCACAGAAATCAGAAATCTCCACAGAAATCTCCACGTAAATCTCCACAGACCACAGAAATCTCCACAGAAATCTCCACGTAAATCTCCACAGAAATCAGAAATCTCCACGTAAATCTCCACGTAAATCAGAAATCTCCACGTAAATCAGAAATCTCCACGTAAATCTCCACATTCGCCGCCGCCGCCGCCGCCGTCACCTTTGATGTCGGCGCCGAGCGCCTTCCAGACGGGCGCGAAGTGAATGCAGTGTCCGCACCACGAGGCGTAGAACTCCACCACCCAGGCGGCGTACGAGTTGCGGAGTGCGGGCGCCACTTCCCCGGGGCCGAGTACGGCCACGAGGTCGTTGCGGTCGTAGAGGCCGCCCGAGACCGACAGCGGCCCCAGCGGCCCCAGCAGCAGCAGCAGCAGCAAGGCCAACAGCGGCGCCATGCTTGCGTGCTCAGCGGGGAACCCGCGGCAGCAGTGGCTGGCAGCGGTGGTGTTGCAGCAGGCAACAGCAGCAACAGGAGCGGTGGTGTTGCAGCAGGCAACAGCAGCAGGCAACAGCAGCAACAGGAGCGGAGGCAACAGCAGAGGTGGTAGCCGGAGCGGCAGCAGCAGAAGTGGAAGCGACAACAGCAGCGGCGGTAGCAGCAACAACAACAGCGGCGGCGGCAGTCGCAGCAGCAGAGGCAACAACAACAACAGCAGCAGCAACAGCAGCAACAACAGCAGCAGCAACAACAACAACAGCAGCAGCAACAACAACAACAGCTGACAGCAGCAGCGGCACCGGCCGCCGCCTTCCTCCGCCGCCTGCCGCCTTGACAGCTGCGCGAGCCGTTGTGATGGGAATCGATTCCGCGCGCGCGATTTATAGACCGTAGGGTGTGGAATCGATTCCTCGCCACGCAATTTTTCGTGCGCGGAGGGGGCGGGGGTCACGGAATCGATTCCGCGCCCAAAATTTATAGAGCCAGTGGGGGGTGGGGCGGGCGGTCTCGGAATCGATTCCGCGCCCGCGATTTAAAGTGCGGTGCGCGGAATCGATTCGGATGTGTCCTATGCCTTTGAGGGCTACATCGACCTGAGAGATGACATCCTCTACTGGTATATGTTTAGGGGTGACAGCGAAACTTAGCCCTTTAGCCAGAACCGTTTTCAGATTGTCCGAAATCGGGATGTTACTCTGATTAATAACGATTTTGTTAACATTCAGTTTTGTGATGTGTGGTTCTGGCTTCTTCTTTGATAGGAGGTTGAATTTAGCGATCAGGTTGGCTTTGCATTTGGCTGACAGTGAATGAGCAGAGGCAGCAGTCATGTTGTCAACGTGGTTCCAATCAGAAGGGGACATTTTTTGTGTTAACATTAAATGTGATTGTAAGAGAGTCTTGTCTAAACTATCGAGTTCAAATCGGACTACTCTTATTCTCTCTGAGATTAGTGATAGGCTAGCATTTATCAAAATCCGTTTAGAGTTCGGTGAAGATTTGAAGCATGGTTTAATTTTTTTTGGGGGGGGGGCAGAGCTTTGTGACGTCATATTTGAGGGGGGGGGTCTGACTTTTTGTGACGCCGTGTGACGATGGGGGGGAGGTAAAAAAATCGTCAAAAATCGCGTGACGTCATTCATGGACGGCCTCACGTGTATGGAAGGCAAACCCCCCCCACCCAATCGATTCCTGATTCTAGATCGGCGTAGAATCGCAACGCGCGATCGGAATCGTCACAAAAAGAATGAATTGACTCGGTGTTGGCTTTCGGGTGCGTGGGAGGGCGGCGCGGATCGATTCGTTAGCCACTGGTTAATCGGATCGGGTGGAATCGAGTTGAGTGGAAGTCGCAGTGTGGTGTAGTGGGTACCATCAGAATGTTGTATTCATACTGGAGGGAATCCGATGAGCTATGAAGCTCTTTATTCACAGATGTCTAGTAAGGGCAAGGGGTCAGAACGTTACAACAACAAGACATAAAAAAACACGATAGGAAAGGTAAACAAATCACTTAAAATGTACAAGTTTAACACGTAGGCTTTCGCGACCAATATTATTCATAATAAAGGTTTTTGGGTTAGATCGCGTTATTTATAAATGTGTCATCATGCCCGATGATGCTGGATGTAATTACCAGCGAAACGTCGTACTCAAAAATTGTAAATGTTGTGGATTCACTCTTCAACACACCGGTGGGCTAAAGTAGTGAACTATTTTGTCTATTACATATTATTGGTTCTTTCAGTAAAGTCACGTAGAAGGGAAACAAAATAATAAAAATATAAAACAATAAAATTCTCACGACGTTTCGACTGCAACACAAGGATTCATCATCAGGTGTGAAAACCACAGCAAGAACATTTTATATTTTTATTATTTTATTGTTTCCCTTCTACGTGAGTTTACCGAAAGAACCAAGAATATGAATCCCTGCAGTCACGAAAGCTTTAAATCAACATTTATTTTGTCTATTGTCTACGTGACATTTTTTTTTACTGTTTGGCCGTGTCGGGTGGTGAAGGGTTACGACACATTTATAAATAACGCGATCTAACCCAAAAACCTTTATTATGAATAAAATATACAAATAAAATGTATAAAGTTAACTTTTGTTTATTTTTCAGAAGTGATCTGGCCACAAATGATAGCCATACCTGTCAACCCATACGGTTTCACCCCGTATTCTTGTACAGGGAAATTGAGTTTTCAGGTCCATACGGCGTACAGCCGTTTCAATACGGGTAAAACAAATGTTTGTATATTTGTTTGTGTTTCTCCCTTGTGATGGGACTTTGTAGGATGAACGTTGAGATTTATAAGGGCACGGAGTGACCAATCAGGTTTGTAATAAGGGAGGCAATGATAAGGAGTTGACAGTTATGGATAGTTGAACAAAGTGGACAATTCTAGAAGCAAAATGATCTCAATGCATGTTTCTAAATGTGGAGGGAAAAACCGGAGGCCCCAGAGAAAAATCCACGCGACCACCACGGGGAAAGAGAGACACGCAAACTTCAAACATACAGCAGCAGGCGTCAGGGTGGGGATTTGAACCCACGACCTCCTGTATACCAGACGAGGTAGTTAACATCTCCTAGCCATCGTTATGATGATGAGAGAGAGATACCGCAAACTCCAAACATACAGCAGGCGTCGGGTTCTGGATCGAATCCACGACCTCCTGCACACCAGGCGAGGTAGCTAACATCTCCTAGCCATCGTGATGATGATGAGAGAGAGACACGCAAACTCCAAACATACAGCAGGCGTCGGGTTCTGGATCACGACTCCCTGCACACCAGGCGAGGTAGTTAAAATCTCGCCAAACGTGGCTCCAAAGGCGTCATCTCGGATGCCTCCTGTCCATTTGACTGCCGCTCCCTGGTTAATCTCGACCATTGGTCATGACCCCTCCCCCCACCACCATCACTTTTAACACGGCATTAAATGTAATACCGTGCTTGACGTCTGCGAGAAAGAGCTTCACAACTCATCGGATTCCTCCAGTCTAAATAAAGATTCTGAATAGCTGAGCGATCATTCCCACCACCCCGCCATCCCATGCCGAAGAGATTATCACCAACTCTTCATTTTGTCGGCCTTTAAATTTTCGTCAGAGCTCTGAAGATGAAGCGGATCGGAGCCCTTAGGACAATGTCCTCGCGTTTGCGACCACAACAAAAAAAAGTACGGCTCTGCGGTTTGCCGAGAGGCTCCAGCGTTGACAAGCGAAGGGGCGATATCAGCAACATCTCAAAACCGGTCCCTTTGCTGTCAACCCCTCTCCGACTTTCAGCCAAACCCACACGCTCACCAGCGCGGGGAAGTGTGGTATCCGGCAGTGGGTGTTCGACAAAAGGGGTTTGCGCTGCACATTTGGGCTGCCACGTTCGGGCAAAGGTGCTTCAATGGGATTATTGCCGTCTGGCCGCTGCAGTCGTCATCAGCCATCCAGCAGCTTGTGTCCTCAGACCCCGATTCACGCGGCTAATCAATCGAACGCGCGCACGCAATGGGCTCTATTATTAGTCACGTATCCCGTGCGTTAGGGTACACAACATCGCTCACGTTCAATGATTGTATGATTCATTAAGTTTGTATCTAGGACGGTGGTCCGTGAACTTGACTGCAGCCAGCACCACGACTTTGGTTTCTCAATCGTTTACAATTGCTTTTATATGTTACTAAATACGTAGGTTTTGATGAAACAAAGTGAGTTGTAACTTACGTGCCCGTGCTCAATTTGTGTTTTCGGTGATTTAACTTCTAAACAAAATCTGGCCGTGTCTCGCACCCCCAGAAAGGGCATCTCGCACTCCCAGGGGGTGCAGCGTGCACCCCAGGTGAAGAAGAAGAACCGCTGATCTAGGAGCTCCATCTTCTTTGGTTCTTTCGGTAAAGTCACGTAGAATGAGAATAAAATAATAAATTGATAAAATAAAATAACAAAATAATATTCTCACGACGTTTCGGCCACAACACAAGCGGCCTTCATCAGGTGAAGGGACGAGACTGTCTGGTAGGACAGAGAATATTATTGTGTTATTTTATTTTATCAATTTATTATTTTATTCTCATTCTACGTGACTTTACCGAAAGAACCAAAGAAGATGAATCATTGCAGTCACGAAAGCTTGAAATCGAAATTTAGGAGCCCCATGTTCAGTCGTTTTCAGTTAGGGTCTTGCCGCTGCTGCATTGGTTTTTGTTTTATTGTTTTAATATTATTTCAGCCAATTAATGATGATAAGTTGTGTTGTTTATTATTCACGTGGGAGGAGGAAGCCAGAGGCACCTGGAGATAACCCACGCCTTGCTCGAGGTGGCAACTTTGTCCCCGTGCAGACGGAGCTGAACTAAACACGTAGGCTTTCGCGACCAATATCATCCAGTTAGATATTTTCATATTTACGCGATCAAACCCCAAAAAAAACCTGTATTATGGATGCTAAACTTATTTCGCATCCTACCTAGCCAACCTTGCTAATCGAAGGTGCGGGTGTGCGTATAATCGCGTGTCGCACAACACCGATTAAAAAGGGACTGTAAATTGTCATTGGATTTATAAACGTCAGCATTTTTAAAAAAAAAAAAATCACGTTCACAGCGTTTTTATTGTTTTATATATATTTTATTATGTTATTATGTCTCTTCAACGTGACTTTACCGAAAGAGCTAAGAATATAGCGTTAAAGTAGTTCGTGACTCCCTGGGTGACCGAGACAGCGCGTCCGGACTTGAGTTGTGGTTGAAAACAACGAGCCCGCCCATCCACGCCTACAGGGCCGTGCCATGTGGTTATTATTTTGCCACGTGACGCACACACAAAAGGGCATTGTTCAGCAGGGAGCCCCGCCACCTGGCAGCGAACACGAGCCCAACACTTGTTGCTGGCGTAAAAATAATAATCGCGAAATCGCCGACGGAAAATATTGCAACAAACCGACGAAGCGTAGGTTTTTTGTTATCTCAGCGAACGCTGACGATTGTGTGTGCATGCCTTCGCTTGTGTTTGTGCTTGTCTTTGGTGGGGAGCGGTGGTGTAGCGGTTAGCGCGCTGCGCTACGAACCC